ATGTGCGTTTCGCGCTAGCTGCCCGCCTGCCGCGCCGCAGTGTGCCACGGCGCTTGAAGCAACTATTTCACACCAGCCAGAGGTATTGCACAGTATCATACGAGACTGAAGGCGCTCTAATATATTAGGAATGGCAGGCATCCATCAGAGGTACGGAGCTTTCCTCGAAAAATAAATCTAGATACTACGGCTCAAAAAGAGAACAGTCGTCCAAAAACTCACAAAGTCCTAGCATCCGTAATTAGTAACGTTTAGCATACACTTTATCGCCTGGCTGTTGCTTAATCGCCATCGGCTATAAAAGGGTATGAAATTGTGTAGCCGGCTATAGAAGCTATTGGAAATCTTACAGCCGGCTGTAGGTCTATGGTATTTTGGAACACAGATTCTACTGCCAATTTTTACCAGGGCATTGGGTTTTACACCAATATCTGGAGCTAAATTGCATAGGCGTTTAAAATAAATACTTTCCTCTTCTCTCCCACCCTCATTTTCTGATAAGTGATAGCGAAGAGAGCAGTAAGTGCGTGCTGGGATGAACCTCGAGACACATAAAAGCATGTGCTAATCATGGCTCGCACAGGAATGCACTTATTGCTCTCTTTGCTATCACGGTAGTCTTGCTCCCACTCTCTGTATCTCTTTTGCTGCTTCTCACTTTATTCATTTTTTTTTGTTACTACATGCCAACTTGGCTGGCGTAAATGGATCTTCACGAGTCTTTTTAATTACGTCTGGGTACATAACTGATATTCGCAAGGCCGCAGTTCTGCTCTTTCTCAATCCGTTGCGTGTTTCTGATATTACACTCAAGAAGTGTTTCAAGTTGAAGGTTAATGTAAGTTCATTAGAGCGAGTCAAGTTTGGAATTGTGTTAAATTTCTTACAACGAGACTAAATATCAGCATGCGTACACCGGTCCTTCGGTAAATTTTGAGACAATAATCCGTCGATTAATCGATCGGGGGCCTCGAAAAATCGTAGTCATTCCAGGAGAGAAATAAATTATTTTATTGGGGAGGAGAGAACTAAACTATGTGGATCCGTCGCAATATATCTATTCGTCCATGTATCTTAACTTAAATCGCTTGTTTAAGTCAATCTGTCCTCACCAAATATGAGTACAAAATTAAAGCTGTAAAAGTATTTTATACAGACAATACCACTAACAGCGGCGCAGAAAAAAATAACTGGTTCAAAAGACATAAATTTGATTAATACATCTAAACTGCTTCGTTTGGTCTTTTTTTTATTTTCCCCCTTTTTTCTAACTTTTTTTATAAGTGACTTTGCTAACCTAACCTGACCCTTCTCTCCGACAAACGGGTGCAGAACGACTTGAAATGCGATTGTAATCGGTCGTAAAGCTTGATTGTCAATTATTTATTGCGCATTAATTTATGCACCTTTCATCTAGTTCTCTGTGAACTCTTGGCAAATACCATGCGATTTTCATTTTTTACGCCAAACAAATCTCTTATCTAGGTGCCTCGCCCAAGACCTGATTTTTATTCTGATGAAGATATTTTTTACTCATAGTGCCTCAATTTTACATTAACAGGGGCACATTTGCTAAAATCGCATGGTTTAAAAGCAACTTCTAATCTACGTATCCATCTGCACAACCTAGACCTCTAAACCCTTGAGATGGACCCTTACCCTGGAAAAAAAACACATTGGATCTAGAGTCCAGACTCTTAAAAACATCGACAAGAAAAAATACTCTAGATTCAATCGGATTTTTGCTTAAATCAAGAACCAAACCAGCAAGCCTCTTAATTTGAGCGGATTTCCTTTTGATTTAAGCAAAAATCTGATTGAACCAAGAGTATTTTTTCTTGTCAATGTTTTCAAGAGTCATGACTCTAGATTTAATGTGTTTTTTTGCAGTGTACCCTTAAATTTGGTGCAACCAATTCTGGGTGCGATCGATTTATTTTACCTACTTTTTTACCATTAGATCGAATATTTTGGAAAGTAGACTCTAGGTCAATCATTAAGGAATATTCGTGCTGAGAATCACTCCCAATATCTTAAAATGAAGTCAAAAGTTCTGACTTCAATTTTCCGCGGGGGGGGGGGCGGCGGACCCCCTTGCCCTGGGAATTTTCCCCTAGATCCCCCACTCGGTATCAGCAAATCTCCGCCCCCTCCTCCTCCTTCGACTCGCTCTGGATCCGCCACTGCCCTAGACATACTTTGTTGAGTCTGAAGGAAAATCAGCAGGCTGATTGTTGAATATGATAGACAAAGCTACAGAAAATGAAGAAAATAGGAATACGGACGGATCCTATTGGTATGGAAGCGAGTGGTTGCAATGGACAAAGGAGGTAGATAATAGACTGACTAACGACAACCCACGAGAGACCCCTTAATTAGTCCATCATTTTCTCCCCTAGTCTATAAAAACCATCCATTTCAACCCATAGGATAGATCCATCCTCCTTATGTCTTCTTTTTCTATCGCTTTGTCTATCAATTTCAACAATCAGCCTAAAGTTAGAGTTATCGATCAAACTTGGCTTCCTGTAAGAATTGGGTAGAGAGTACTCTACTTCACTCGGTTTTTCCTATTTAAATGAGAGCTATTAATTTCCGGTGGGCGTGAGATTAATCAAGCCGACAAATCCGTGATGCAGAGCGGTGGCGTGGCGTGCTTTGCGATATATCGATTGATCTGTCATTTAAACCTATAGAAAAGGATCGATAAACCGTATTTTCTCAACGAACACCTTAATAATCGATCCTTTACCATAGCCTCAAACGGGGAATCGTTAATCGACCATGGATGCAAAGAGGCTTCAGCAGTAGGAGTGAGCGTAGGTATACCATATGACAGCCCGCTGATTGCAGTGTTTGTTACCTTGGAATCATTCTTTCGTTTTCGCTTTAAAAAAAACAGCATTCCATTTTTCCCATGCCAATTATCGCGCTACGCACGTGTGTCATGCTCTCCTAACTTTATTTTGATGATAGTCTGGTACTTTTAATTATACTTCGAGTATGATGGAGTTCGAGTTTTTATTAAGATAATCGGATTAAGAATAATCAGGTAGTGAGATGCGTAAGTCAACAAAAATCAAGACTTCAATCATCGGCGTTGTTAAACTTTAAATTAATTTAAACTTAAAATTTGTACTTAAAACTTAATAAATGAATAATAGTAATCAGTAAATGAAAAACATTAAAACATCCTACTAAGCTCTGTCAAGTTTAAACTGTATTATTTAAAGTGATTTTATCATCAGTGGTTTTATCATCAATGATTCTTAATACCCTCTAAGTGTGTCTGAAGAAGGCCAATTTTTGAGAGGTTCCTTCGATGGAATTTTTAAATGTTTCCCTCCTCGGGTGCACTATAGTGGTGGGACAGCTTAACTAACTCCAAAGAATTTCCCGGTTACGCCGATAAATCTCGGAGTTTTAGGAATGCCTAATGAATGAAATAAAAAACCAAGCTCTGAGCTAAAGTTTAATGGCTTAGCTGCTGGTAACATGATAAAGCGATCTGACATTTCTGTGGAGCGGAAATATCAGCAATCAGTAAATTATATGCATTGTTAGATGTGCACGATTACTGGTTAAGATTTAATTACAGTCTCTGAACGTCAGAGGTCTCTCAACTCCTCATTGTATGCTCTGCGGATCAAAGTTTAGGTCCGTCCTTCAGGTATCATATTCCAAACGAGGCGAGTTAAATCTCCCAGCACAAGCCAATTTCAAGAATTTACCTAACACTAATACTAAAGTAAAAACTCTACTGGCATTGTAAATTGTGACATGACGTGACGAAAACATGGACAATGTAAATAACACTAAACCCTTGGAAAAGTCAACATAGCTCAAGTTGGTACTGTAATATTTATGATTCTAATTACAGAGGGAAATGAAATTAGATCTGATGAACGCTCTATTTACAGGTATGTAAATAATTACTGGAGGTGAACTCTAATAGATTTAAAAGATTGGTTGAAACTGCAGACGAAAGTATTTATTTATTTACTAGAGAGTGCCCCCCTGGCTTTTGCGCGGCTCAACCCCTCAGAAAGCGCAACGAAGGCCCACCTAGCGACCTAGCGGGCCCTCGTCAGTCAAACTACACATATAGAGCAGGAACCACAGGTTCACTAAAATCACATATCCGAATATATTTTTTTTTTTTTTAAAAAAAAAGGAATAATTGGATGTCATTAACCATAATAAACCTACACTGACTCCGGTTCGATTCGTCCAATTAGTACTTCTTTCAGTGTGCAGTAACAGTAAGTTTACTTTGTAACGCCTTGATGCAACTATTCGTGCTTAGTAGATGCCCGCGTTGCGTTCAAAAAATTGAAGGCACTTTAACTTTTCTCGCCTTCATATTAATGTAGTTTTAAATCATTGACATGAGTGTCGATCAACGCTGGTTCCGATTTCGCATTATCATCCAACTATACGCTGAGTTTCACTCGATAAGTTTTGCGGCGATAAAGTTGTATAACAATGTTTAATGTATATAAAATATATATAATAACATAAATAATATATTGGGGGTGACTCGGTGCTGACTTCGATGTCTTATTACGATGTTATGTTTGAGTCAATTATCATGTTTGAAACTCGAAATGCGAGCATGATAAGAGGAGCGCAAAACTACCTAATAAGCACTTGAATTTCTTGACCTCCAAGCTCCTTTTAATCTGCAAGTGACCCACTGCCATCCTCGGTATTTCTCGAATCTTCGAGGTGTTCAAAAACACAGGATCCTAATTATAGCTCGGTGAAACCGTAAACATTTCGGCATGAATATTGCATGCGTGTAGACACTGACCATCTTTTATAAAAACCGCTGGGATTCGAATATGTGTTAATCCGGTTTGCCAAATGACTCAATTTGCCAATGGCCGTTGGCGGATAGTATGAGTGACTTCCTGTGTGAATACACTGTTCGGATTTTATGATTTTATTTTCAAGATCGCAACGATGAAAATCAACAAAATTCGATTTTTATGTTCCAGGGATAGCAGTTCAATTCAAAATCACAGCCAACATGACGGAAAGACTTCAAACGACCAGCTTCATTCGGACGAAGCTCCAGACCATCGCAAGTGAAATTATCAGAGGTAAGACTCTTCATCAACTTGTTAATTAGCCAGAATTGGACTATTGTTCGACTTGGGTTATTTCTGTTTCACGGAAAAATACAAAAAATGGAGTTTGTCTTGCGAGAAAAAATGCGTTTACTCAGCGAGTTGTGCAGCATTAAGATAGCAGACTTTGTACGCATCGAGAGTAATTTATTATTTTTTCCTCCTAAGTAGATGAACAGGATTTTTTAGAATAAATGGCGAAATTTTGGAAAATAAAGTCAGTCAGTCCAGGCGTTCTCTTAAAAATTTTAATGGTGCGAAAAAAATTAATAGGTATTGCTGAATCTATGTGCAAGTAAATGACTAGTTCCTGTTTGAAAATCAAGTCACCGTCAAATTAAAAATTGAAATTTGGTTTTGACTGCCCCCCCCAAAAAAAAACGAGCACTTATACACGTACACGCACTCTTGTTAGAAATTCCACTAAGAATCTCATTTCATTATTCTCACGTGTGAAGATCAAGACCAAAAAGATGAATCAATTTTAATCCAATTTCCGGGTTGGTCTAAGGTCTTAATTTTGTTTATCCCGTCTATTCGACACGCATGTTTGAGAGTCTTGTTAGAGAGTCTTCCGCTAAAGCACTAATGTAAAACCACAAGTTGCCATTTTCCCACAAGCTATATGGAGAGCATAAAAACCACTCAATTAATTTTAAGCAATTTTAAAGAGAAGGGGTTTTATTTTATGGATTCTCGAAAAACTATGGGCTTTTGATACTCTTAGGAGACCCGAAAAAATATTGTACCAGTAATCATCATTAAGTCTCACATTCGACTACTGTACATTGTCTAGACCTTCAAGAGCTCAGCCTGCAAACATAAACTATATGTAGATTACATTTTGCAAAAAGGAACCACTATCTCTGGCTTTCCCATAAAATCACCTATCTGCATAAGGAAACCAATGGCATATTTGCTGCTTCTAAATTGAGCGAGAAATGGTGGTATCTTATTGCAAAATGAAGTCCAACTATCGAGTGCTATTTGGACTACATTTTGCAATTTGGACCTCTAGATTTCAGCCCGGTCTAAAAATAACGCATGTGCCATTAGTTTCCCCAGGCACATAAGTGTTTTTCCAGAAGAGCCAGAATTTATAGTTCCAAATAGCAAAATGCAGCCCATTCGAGAAGAGGCAAAAATGCTGTTACCACAATTAGAGTAGACCAGGAAGAAACTGAGCTTAAACAATTCACGGTTTCCACGTCCTCTTCATTTATAAGCCTCCTTTTCAATCACAATCTTCCAATGTATCAGAAAAATTCCATAAGAGGTCTGTCTACCGTGAGAATTGAGCCTGTGCCTAACTCTGAGACTGTTCTCAGACTGAAATTCAAATCTGAATTAATATTCGTGAATTTTATTGCGCTGATTACGAGCGGAAAAATTTGTTTCTCCGTTAGAGTTTATCAATAACATCTGTATTGAGGAAAATGAATCGATACACATTGACCTCACATTCTAGCATTTTGCATACTTTATTGGCTGTGATAATCGCACGACACTTGCTATTTTTCCCGTTGGAATTTCTACGGTCTAAAACTAGTAGGATAAGATGGGAAGGTACTATTTTCCGCCTTCGCACGTTCTTTTTTGAGGATGTAACATTCTTGTCCTCTGTATAGACTGTGTTCACAAAATGTCAGTCATTATGTAAAACAAAATTTTAAAAAGATAGATCAAGGACAAAAATTGAATGTCCGTTAGGTAATCCTCGAGTAGATTTTTATTTCTACGGTTTCTTTCTCCATGATCATTGAGAAATATTCAAGAGAAAAATACTGTCGCAAATCAGCATTTGATAATTTTTTTTATTTTAAATCACTTCATCCCCCGAAATTTATGGGGTGAACTGGATCCAAAACCGAAAAATTACAAAATTGGGGGGGGGGAGATCAACAGTTTTAACGCCCAACATTCATAAGAATTCACATTTAAATAAAGGCAGGAAAATTGAACGAAATCTATGGATGTATATTTATGCTCAAATGGCTATGTAAAAAAAATTAACTCGAAAGGAACCGTGTTCATGAGATCTCTGCGATTCATAACTCCTTCGGATTTATAATTCATGTGTACATAACATAAATTTGATCCTTAATTTGCTGATATATGCGGTTAGTCGAACTGATGAAAAATAAAACATTGCCAGTTGTTAAATCTGATCACACCACCTCATAACCACTGATACTCATATTTTCTCACACATTGCGCACATTTTTACACAAATATTTGCCCTTCTCATTGAACAAATTTAGACACAAATGACAATAAACGTGGATCACCCAATCCCCTCCCGGATGACATTCCTGGTCATGATTGCTGCAACGTTGCCCATTTTCCTTTTTTTCTCACACCTGGAAGGGAATCGAGATCCGGGAGGGAATCGGGTGATGACCCAATAAATGACTCTTTCATATTATTATAGAAGATGGAAGTGCATAATTTTTTCCCTTTCTTAAGGAGGCACTTTCCTTTAAAAGGGGAAAAGAGAGGGAAAAATTGGCAAGACAAAATTTACGTAAAAAGACTATAATTATTCACATCTGTGGCTAAATTCCGCGTCTTATTCCAGTTTTCAGTACATGTCTGATGATGGAAAAAATTCGCAATCTGTCATTGGAAGATGAGGGAGCTAGAAAAGGGGAAAAAAGAGAAAGTGAAAAATCCAGTTTTTTACTATTGATTCCGTACTCACCCCTTCACGTGTGAACATAAAATCGCTACAGCGACTGCGATAAGAAGTTATCGCTTTGTCTATAAGTTTACGGATCTTTTAGCGATCATTGCTCGGAACGCGCAAAATTTTCGCGGTGTATAATAATCAGCGCACAGGCTTATGTGGAAAATCCCCGTCCGGTCTGTTGGCCGCCCCGATTTACACATGTTGTTTGACTACCTACTTTAAGCTTGGTGGTCGCATATCAAGCATTCCTCACTTCGGTTGTTGATCCTCGTAAGGTTATGAGACTTATTGCAGGCTAATAGTTTTCTCCTGAGAGCTCCTGGAACTTTTCCTAGCGACCTGAGCAACCCTTGTGGAGTTCGTCGTGACCGTGATCATAAAATGAACTAGGTGCTGGTGCGGTAATCAGGAAGGCTTCAACTTTCGTCGCGTCGGCGTGTGTTGAGCTTTAAATTGATTTTTAGTATATACCTACAAAATGGGGGAGAAGTTCGTCAGAGCGGGCGCGGCAAAATGTTGTCTACATTTTTAACAATAGACGTCAAACGTGTCAGCAAAGCTACCTATTGTATTTTTTATGATACAAAATCATAAAAATAGCACTTAATTATATTTTTCAGAGTCAAAACGAAGGATTAAAACAGTCGGTTCACCGGATATAATTTTTTTACGCGAGGCATAAGAAAAAATAATGGGAAACAGTCCATCCTCTTTTTTAATGACATCAGCCTTACATTATTTTTTTAACACACCGACTAGACTGGTCAATAATGGACCAAAATATCTAAATAAATTCATGAGACAAGAAGGGTGGTAGATACGACCGCATACCACATCGGATCAGAAATCTATTAATTTTTTCACCTCTTAGTGGAAGAAAAAAATATTTCCTACCCTCCGTGCTCATCTATCATGCGATCAATAACGCTCTATTGACCGTCATCAAACATCGTACATTCCATCAAATTTGTTATCTTTTTTTTTGCGTTACCTGCCGTGCCATTGAAGAATGCCACTGGCAAGTAGCCACTGATTTTACGTCGATCTGGCTCAGATTTTTTGTAGGAAATAAGAAATTCTTTGAATAGATGATAGGAGTTTTGACGGCTTTATACTGAACTTTAACGCATTTTGATAGTGGGTTGTTTGTACTGTTTATTTTCAGAAATTATTATTAACAAAAAAATAAGAAATTAATAAAAAAAAAGAGTTTAGAGAAGCATCTTTGGTGATTAAAACTATATTTTTTTTAGTACTAGACTTGCGGAGTTCTTTCTATTAATAAGGTGTTTTATTAAATCAGTGAAATATGTGTGATTTTAAAATTATTTCTTACATTAAAATATTGATTCCCTCGATTGCCTCTTAATTTTACGTATTTTTTATAAATATATTATTCAAAGCTGGTTGAAACTGACGAAATGTTATGGATTAACTTTTGAAAAATTTAAATGATTCCTTGTTATTATCAAATCCACTAATGTTACTCGGCATACAAGTATTCAATGCCGAACACTCTAGCATCATGATTTATGTCTGACAATGGCACCTTTACTACTCAAGCGGTAAATAATATTTTAAGATGAACTTGGATTAAATAACTTGGTTTTTATATTTCAGTTGTTGGCTATAATGGCGGGAGTGTTGGACTTATTCCTTTCGCGATGAGAATGGAATTTAAAGAGGTTGTTTCTTCCTTATAGCGTGGATGAAATTTCAATCCGTCCCCTCTGCCCTCTCTTGTTTTGATAAACAATAAAAATAAGAAATGAACAAAAAATCCAAAGAATGAATACATTTAAACACAGTTGAATATTGACCTGAACAATTACATTACTATCGCCATGTTGTTTCGCTATCGTTCAATTCGATTCAAAAATATATAAACAAAATAAACATACAGCTGGTCGATAAACTGGTTAAAAACTGGGTTACTTGGAATGAAAAGCGAAATGTATGAAATTTAAATTCGTCCCCTCTCATTGTTTCGATGAAAAAATCATAAATAAATTTGAATGGCGATCAAATTAGTCACTGTTCCATTCAATTTAAAAGAAGCATACAACTTGTTGACAAACCGGTCAAAATTAGGTTACTTCTGATGAGGTAAAGTAATAAGTGTGCGATTTGAAGCAAGGTCATCAAACCTGAACTGATACTCCGTTGCTCAATGTTTGGCTGCATCTCTTACATTGTTTAATCGTTGACTTTTGTTTCAAAAGGCGAATTTTCCTTCCATGTCGTAAATTTCGATAACATATGCCAAAGAGGGCGAAAAAAACGATCCACCAAGAATAACTTTTTTTTGTTTGAGTCACAAAGTTTAATTTGGACTATTGTGTGGAAAACCTTTTTAAGAGAGCATCACGCCTCAATCACTCCTTAGGGACAGAAGTGGAGACCAACCCCGAGTTTTCCGATTGCAGCCTCTGTTCAAAAAATGAAAATGAAAATCTCTAACATGAATTGTAAGGCTCACTCTATCAAAAATTTCAGACAATTTTTTCGAAGACTGATGCATACTTAAAAGGTTTTTACTTATTTATTAATGATTTATGATTTTATTTTATTAATGATTTATGATTTTATGTGTTTCAGATGAAGTTGTAGACAAATGGTTTTTGATGGACAACATATATCCCGTCCTGGCTCTCGTCATAGCTTACCTAGTTTTTGTACTCAAAGTAGGACCTAAATTTATGGAAAATAGGAAACCTCTCAATATTAAAGGAATAATTTTAGCTTATAATTTCTTCCAAATGATAAACAATGGATGGATCGTCTATCTTGTAAGTACTCTGATTTGAATTACTCTTCTCACTTTAGTGCTTAGACTGAAAATGAAAAAAAAACAAAACAAAACAAAAAAAACATCGCTCACCCCTGCTAACCTTTGTCGATACTGTCGATACTGCCACAATACACCAGGTATGGTTGGTGTAAGTACCAATTTAATAAGTGCAAAACACAAATTTAGTCAGTACATAACACCAACTTCTTTTTTTCATGGCGTGAATATTTTGAAAATAAACTTTTAAAAATTTATTGTCAGTGAAAAAATACTTGTGCAACCTTTTTCATGAAGTCCTAGTTCATGAATTTCTGTTGTATTTCTATATTCTAGCTTATTATTTCTTCTAATCCTAAAATACCCTTCAAAATCATTCGATATTTCGTACGTTCAGATGTATTAATACCAAAATTATGTACAAATTATACTTCTATCAAAAGAAACTATGTATGAATCACGGAAATCTTACATGCATCGTTATTTTTTATTTGATTTAATTGTACTTTGTTCCATTCTATAAAATTATAAGGATAATGCGACGGATAGATAAGGATAAGACGATAGGCTCAACGATAGGCTATAGGGGAGGTTGAACTGCGAAGCAGTCAGAGGGCATAGCTCCCTAATTCTATACTAACTCTAACGATGAAGAACACCATAACCATCAGTTGTGAGAAAAACGGCTCTTTTCCTACTCGTGCGTTCAAGTCTCTGGTGTTTTTCGTTCTCAGTGAATTTCAAGCTTTGTCTAAGCAGCATTAAACGAACTTAATCGTATACAAACCTTTTGACGGCTCTAATCTTCCATGTTAGGTTGCTTCTTCCGTTAAATCATAGGGGAGAACTCGTCTCTCTAGGCAATGAGAAATCTGGGAATTTCCATCAGTTCAGGAGCGCGGCGTGTTCCTGTAAACGTATTTGCCTTCATTTAAGATGGTAGGCAAAAGGAGTTCCCATGAGCATCAATTGTGGTATCTGAATGAGAAAAATGAGTATTTCTATAAGCAGCCATCCATTATAGCGGCGTGTTATGAAAGCGTTGTTCCAAAGTACAGCTATCGGTTCAATGTTGGCCGTACTGTTCGGTTCGTGCAACGGCTCTCTCGGTTCTAAGATCCGTATCTTCCGTTCATGCAACCGAGTTTTCTATAGTTCGGTTTGGTCTGAAAACTCGGTTGCATGAAGCGCAGATACGGTTCCTAGAACCAAGAGAGCGGTTCCACGAACTGAATAGTACGGTTTATATTGGACACAGTACATTTGACTTACAATTCACCTGACTGAACTTTTTCCTCAAGGTGCTGAAATGAGTTCTTCCCAACAGGAGGACCTTATACAAAGAAAAACACTAAAAGGAAATTAATTTTATGCTCACTTCGTTTTTTTTATGTATTACCTTAATTTTACCTATTTTTGATGTATCTTTCCTTTTTCTAATTCCAGTTATTCACAACACCCGGTGCCATATCGCATTTAGCTCAAAATAAGTGTGCACCAATGGAAAAATCTAACCCTCTATTTTATGCCGTAAGTATACTCCTTGCCTTTAATTCTAATTTTTAAGAAAGCATTTGGACCAGCTTTGAATAATTTTACTTTTTCTAGGTACTCGATGCAGTTCATTGAAACATATAGCATCTAATAATCTTAAAAATAATCCCATATGTTTTTACAGCGAGTAGATGGATTTTAAATATAGTTGCAATATCAGTATGCAAAGTCATTGTCCCGTCTCAAGTAGCTTTGTCAATGCATTATTGGTATTTTGGAGTCACAATGATAATTTTTATACAATTCTTGACGTTCAATTGCATTTATGACTGCATTTTGTTGCCATTTAAAAGTGTCCAGACAAGTATGATGAGAAGTAAAAATATTATTTTAAATTCAATCAGACTTTAAAAGCTTCAACAAATCAGTGTGTTTACTATTTGTACGTCCTCTCAGTTTCGAAATCGGATTTGCTTTTCATATTCATGATCTTCAATCTCAATGTCGATACATGATTACCATTTGCATCATATTAATCCTTTCACGTTTCATAGATGATGAATGTCATGATAAACCTGTTTCATTTTTCCGTTTCAGATGTGTGCAGGTTCCTGGTATTTCTTCATGTCTAAAGTTTACGATCTTTTAGACACGGTGAGTTCGACACTTATTTCATTTTCTCTCTGATTTTCCTTCACGCCCACCTTCAATCAAAATCCGCCTTGCATCTTACCACACGACAAATTACACACACGCTGCAGCCTCATGATATGTGTGCAGGATTTTCACCCGGAAGCTTTCAATAATTCCCTTAACTTTCGAGCTTATTCAATTTTTGTTAGTAACCTATTCATAATCATCTTTTAAAATTTGCAGCGGGAGTTTTTTTTGCCTTTCAACTTTTTCTATATTTACCAAATAATAATTAGTGCCAAAAACTCATTTTAAAAATTAATTCATAGCTCGAATCCGGAATTAAACTACATCATCGTGATTTTCTCAATCCCATCCTCACCTCTACACTAAAATGATATGCGTTTTACCACTTTTACGATGTTACATTCTAATGTTACACATTTAGTTGCTTTACTTTTTGCTGAAATAAATTAGGGCTGTAGGTTAATCTGACGGCTTGCCTCAGGAAAGGAACCCCGCCTTAATAGCACCCCAAAAAACATGTTTGCTTTAAAAACGTTACATTTAAGTTTTTAAGAAACACACTTTTAGGATTTAGAAAAACATTTTTTTTGGTGATTTTTTTAAAAATAATAATACTAATAATAAAAAAACTTGGGCATTTTTTAATCTAGTATATAAACGCATTTTCATTTTTATTTTTAAGGAAGAAAAATTAATAAAAATATGTCGCAAATATTTTTGAAAAACTCAGTTTAAAACACCTTTATCTGGTAAATAATTATCTTCTTATACACTTCAAAAATATTTTCATTAAACTCAGAGATGTTATCTATTCGAACGATTGAAAATTCTTCAAATTTGTACACAATATGTTTTAATGCCTTATGAACATTTTAAAACTGCATCTATGTCAATGTCACCATGTTTTATCTTCTAAACGTTTATAGTTGTTTCGGGCATATTTTAGTTTTTTCCCGTGTTTAAAACGATTACATCTGTGAAAATTTCAGTATTTTCAGAGATATTTTAAAAACATCTCTCAGGCGTTATTATAGTATTAAGGTTTCATAAATTTAAAATTAGTTTAGGATAATATTTTCACCAGCGTTACGTGATTGACCTTTGAAGTCAACTGGTGAAAAATACGAAAATTCAATGACACTCGAGTGATTGGCCTTTAAACTATAAATAGGCCCGTTAGATTTTTGCCGGAATAATTTCCCAAGACATACTCGGCGCACACTGCTCAGCAAATCGTACGTTTAGATTAGGATGGAATCTCAATTCGCATTGCAGTACTTTGAATTCCGGTATGCTCCACACCGCAATGGCTTTGATCTTTTTTTGTACTCACCCGAAATTCCTCAGGCTTGTTTTTTCCCAGAAAAAAATAGTTCCTCGATTCTTATCATGTTCAAATCAATGATCATTTCGGGCGAGAAGTAACACGTCCGTGAACAAGTCGGCTCATTAATTCCCTTGAGAATTCCACCTGGCCGAAGACGTTCCGAATTCGGAATAAACAATTAATAATGCGCATAATTCATCAATACATGAGTTATGAATGAACTGATGCAGTGGCGTTGAGTGATGCGTATATGCACACGCCCATGTGATTGTGCTACACATTACGCATGCTCCAACCTTCGAGCGTAATTCAACTTCCATTTGCCACACTGTGATCAGGAACAATGAATTATCATATTCTACACTTATCAGAAGCCAGTCAGTTTTTTTATGAACGGATAAGCAAAAGTTTAATACTTATAGATACTTCATGGAGAATTTTGAAAATAAACTATCCGCTCCAATGGCATGTTTCAGCCAGACTGGAATTTGAAAGCTGTAATCGAAAGATTCATATCGACGGCAAAATTGAAAAAAATCCGGATCTCAGTTACAATGTATCAAAATTTCCGCTTCTATTTTATTTTTGAAAAGGAGACCGAACCGACATCATCGCTTGAAATTTTCCCAGAATTTTCTTCAAAGAAAGAAGAAAAATCGCCTTAGTTTTCAAGAAATAACGCTTGTTAAGTTTTCTATAAAGAAAATTATGTACGGCGGGAAATCTGCAACGCCACATACGACGAGGTACAAATTTGGTGAATCATTTGCTTAGCCTCAAGCCCCATTTTCCTCCTACAAGATACGATTTTGCAACATCTTTTTACATTCACTTGAATCCTTCAAGTATAATGACTTACTTAATTTCCTTATTTTATGATGTTTCAGGTGTTCTTCGTTTTAAGGAAGAAACAATCTCACGTGACATTCTTACACGTCTACCACCACGCTAACATGGTTCTTTCATGTTGGGCATACCTTAAGTACATCAAAGGTAAGATACTGAAATATATTTTTCCCCCAAAACTAAACATACATTATTCACTGAAAGCAAAAAGAAAATCCCTTCTAAATATTTTTAATTCCGTGATCGGTTTTTTTTCNGGGGGGGGGGGGGATTTGTAAACGCCTCATAAAAAATATGTAAGACTCTATCCAGAGTTTGAATCTTTGAGAGTAATCAAAATATGTGACTGTACCAAACTTATCGATTAGGAAACGATTTCCTCTTAACGATCTGAAGGCGGTCATTATATTTCGATTTGTTTCGAAATAACTGAAGCGTATTCGCGCACAGAATTTTCACCGCTCGGAGATTTCACTTTTTATGAGTGGCGAGGTGTAAATGATCGATTTTCGATATTTCCCCCTTAAAGCTGTGGTAAAGAATCGATTATTAAGGTGATCGTTGCGAACACCCGGTTCATCGATCCTTTTCCATAGGTTTGAATGACAGATCAATCGATACATCGCAAAGCACGCCACGCCACTGCTTTTTATAAGCCTGACCTCGTAGAAGAGAATTGTTGGCATCTACTTTCCTTGTTAGAGTTCGCTCATCTTGTTGATTTTACTCGATTTTAAGGGACTGTGGAAGCTGATCCACACCCACCTCATATACCCTCTTTTAATGATCGACTGCAAAATCAGCGTGTTGTTTTCCGCTCCTGCATAAATTTCTTGAAATGCATTTATGTTCAACACCTGCCACAGGATTGGTTAAAGCTGCTATTTAAAGCTTCAAATGTCAGACTAAATATCCGAGCTCAATATCTGCTTAGCGCATCGCAAATCGCTTACACTACGGTCGATTACCATTAGATAACGCACATCAAATTACACAGGGCGAGAATTTTAACGCCAGTAGTCAAAGTACCCCATCAGAGATTATGGACGTAGATATTAAAATTTTCTAAATAAAGCATAAAAGTGAGTAATGTCAGTGCAAGTTTTCCTTGTGCGGCAAGTCGAAAGTCCCGTTCACCAAAAAACCGAAGTCTATACTCGAGCCACATGACCCATCGAAGTACTTTCGGCGAGTTAAACAATTAAACGGTTCTTTTAATGTACTGATTTTTTTTCTTTGACAAGTTTACGAGTACAATGAACTAGAGATTGTAGCAAAGTCTTGTGAAACCTGAATTGAATAGTTTTGTGGACGTATATACTCGTCCTGCTTAGTGATCGATTAAGCTCGCGCCCATAATAGTCCTTTATGAGGTGGAGAATTAAATGGAATGATTTTAATAAGACTAAAATCACTACTTTCTAAATTATATGAGTTTATTTCGGATGCTCCCATCTGTTGATCTTATATCAAGTTCGCAAGAAATTTGTCGGTAAAACATGTCTGATATGTTTTAATATCGTTCTGCTTATAGTAGTTCACTGATTCTTCTACTGCATTCTCTTGGAGACTTTAACGCGAGGCAAAAAAGTGGGCTCGTTTGATTTATTGGAGAGAACTCTCGTCCACAGGGAAGAGACTGTTGCATCGTGTCAAAGAACTCCAAATTAATGTTTTGACACCTTCGCATAGAAAAGCGCTTCCGACACATTTCGGCACAAAACACTCAAAAGTATCGGAGCAATCCAAAGTTATATGACTGCTTAAAGTTTGCAATTCATAAGAAATGGTTTTGAAAGAAAGCTACTACGGTTTTATATCTGCTATGTTTGCGGCTCAAAATTTTTGATTGAAATGTACCTTCACATCCAATCGGCAAAAACATAAGCGGAGAGTTTTCCATCCCCGACCTAGCCAAGTTCATTAACCGCAAAACGTTCATTGAAAGCGGGGAATTGAAAGACGAGCATTTCTCGGCGCGTAGCACTCGACTCCGTCTCATGCGCGTCTGGCGGGGAGTGTGACGTCATTCGCGAGGATCGGGGAAGATGCGACGCATTTTTTGCCGAGAAAAGGAGGATGCTGAAGCGGTAAACGCTGCGCGTGCCGACGTCGACATGGACGCGAACGCGAATGTCAATGCCATTGTCAAGCCGCAGATCGTGGCGGAAGTGGCGCCTCAGCCTCCGAGACGCGGCGGCGCGTCGCACGAATGCGCCCCCGCCCCCTTTCCTGGCCCACGCTGCCTCAGTAGCCCCAGGGGCTCAACCGGACAACATATAATAAGTTGCGAAAAGTTCATCACGGTGCGTGGATCAGAAGGACCGTTTTTGGCAAATCCTATATATTAAAATGCAAAGTTCCGAATCTTGGGGCATTAACTTTGAGAGAACCACCGGACCGATTTGCGTGATCTTTTTTTTAAATGAAAGCCCCTGAGCTGTAGATTTGCAGGCTGTGATCGTTTTTTCGATTTTTTCAAATTTTCTCCCATAATTTTCTCAAATTTTCTTCGATGCAATAAAACGGAGGTCCGAATCTTTGGACGTTAACTNTTTGGCAAATTCGAAAAAAATTTTCGTGGTTGGTGATGTCCGCCATTTTGCCATTTTAGCATGGTTATGATTGAAAGGGTGAGAACAGAAGGATTTAATTGAAAATTTTGCCCCTTGAAGAGCGTTTTAAAAAATTGCTTTTTGTTTGAAAAACCAAAGTTACGGAATATGCGCATCTTCGTGGACACATCTGCATTTTTTTTTTATGATGATTCAACGCACTTATGCGGATTTAGAGACTAAAAAAAGCAAAGTTTGTCTCTTAAGAAAGCTCAAAGCTTAAACTTAAGCTTCAGTTCAGAGCTTCAAATGCATTTTCCCCCGAAAACCTCGAAACTTTGCGGGTTTTGATCCTCCAAAGTCTAATATTCATAACTGAAGAGTTCAGGCGTATTGCTGAAGCCTCGGCGTAAACGCCGAAACCTTCATTTCGTTACAATTTTGAAAAGACTATACAGCTTCAGAGGACAAACCTAATCTAAGGAATGCTGAGGCCCTCAGGGGGGTCATAACTCCCGAAGTTCGGTGTGTAGGCCGACAAATGTTTTCCCTCATCGTTTGAGCTGTGCGGGCGACAAAGGCCTCGGGAAGCTCAGCAAAACTACCTATAAACTGGGGAAGGAAACAAGATCGCACTGAGTCAATAATTACAATCGGTTTAATAATTTATCCTCATGCGGCATGCCTTTGACGAGAGAACTAAAGGACGCACCTCTGTAATACTTTAAAATATTTCATTCAAGATATGATATTAAATCAGCATTAAAATGTACAAGGAGAAATCGAAACCTCTTTTGCGGAAAAGATGCTTTATAAGGAAAAACTTTAACAATTTGATCGATCAGTTAAACGCGTCGCAAAATCTTATTTCGATGACGGTCAATCGTAGATCGGTAAAAAACAATTCTTCAAAACTCGAAGACTCTTCCTCCATTAATAGAGAAAATGTAGCCCTAAAAAAATGAGTGTTGGACGTCNGTCTCTAAAACGTACTTCAGTGTTAACAGGCTCATTGTAGAGGAAGAGGGAGAGGCTCTCAATTTTCCCCTCGAATTCTTGGACAGTCTTAATCTTAGTGGCTTACCACCGCATGAACTCATACTTTTGGAGGGGGTTTTTGTCATGCTTTTAAGAAACCTCAACGTTTCTAAAGGTTTATCGAATGGTACCCGATTGATCGTCTGGAAACGTTATGAAAATTGTTTTGATTTGCAGGTCATTTCCGGCGAGAAGGCCGGTGAAAGAATTTCACTGCCAAGAATTGATTTGTCACCTGCAGACTCCTCTCTCCCTTTCTCTTTTAAGAGGCGACAATTTCCAATTCGCATTGCGTTCTGCATGACCATCATCAAAGCTAAGGGTCAAACACTGAAGCGAGTCGGCATTTATTTACCCCAAACAGTTTTTGGCCATGGTAAACTATATGTTGCACTCTCACGAGCTACATCGTACAAAAATTTTGAAGTCCAAATTCTTCCCAAAGGCAACCGTGCAAAAAACATCGTGCACAAAGAGGTGCTTCGATCTTTTATAAATCCCGAAAGCCTCATAGTCATTAGAAAATTATCAAAAAATAAAAATAAAAAAAAATTTAAACAGTAACACACACAAAAAAAAAGAAAAATTAATAATGCGAGCTTTTTATAACATTTTTCGGTAGAATGACAGTCTCCACCCTGTAACGCAGAGAGGCAGTTAAATTCCTTGATCTTCTGCCGCAGAATCATCATCATTATTAAATAGATTCAACTAATCGCTCCGATTCCAAATAAGCTACTGCACCACCATTGCTAGCTGTGGAGGGCGCCCGTAGGGCGCCCGGAGCAGCTAGTACGAAAAGAATTTTCGTAGTTGGCGGTGTCCGCCATTTTGGCATGGATATGATTGAAGGGTTGAGAGCAGAGGGATTTAGTTGAAAATTTAGCCCCTTGAAGAGCGTTTTATAAATTTTTTTTTTGTTTGAGAAACCAATTTTACAGAGTATGCGCATCTTTGTAGACACATCTGCATATTTTTATGATGATTCGACGCTCTTATTCGGGGTTGGAGGCCAAAAAGTGCAAAGCTACTCTCTCAAGAAAGCTAAGAGCTTAAACTTAAGCTCAAACAAGCTTTCAGCTCAGAGCTTAAAATGCATTTTCCCCCGAAAATCCTCGAAACTTCGTGAGTTTTGGTCCTCCAAAGTCTTTAATATTCATGACTGAAAGGTTCAGGCGTACTTGCTGAAGCCTCGGCGTAAACGCAGAAGCCTTCAAATTTCGTTGAAAAGACTACAGCTTTGGTGGACAAACCTAATCTTCCGTAATAAGGAGTGCTGAGGTCTTCAGGGGGTCATAACTCACGAAGTTTGGTGTGTAGGCCGAAAAATTTATGGCTGTGTGGCCCGGCCCTCACTTCACAGTTTTTTCATCGTTTGCACCGTTTGGACGACAAAGACCTCGGGAAGCTCAGCAAAACTACCTATAAACTGGGGAAGGAAACAAGATCGCACTGAGTCAATAATTACAATCGGTTTAATAATTTATCCTCATGCGGCATGCCTTTGACGAGAGAACTAAAGGACGCACCTCTGTAATACTTTGAAATATTTCATAAGATATGATATTAAATCGGCATTAAAATGTACAAGAAGAAATCGGAACCTCTTTTGGGGAAAAGATGCTTTATAAGGAAAAACTTTAACAATTTGATCGATCAGTTAAACACGTCACAAAATCTTATTTCGATGACGGTCAATCGTAGATCGGTAAAAAATAATTCTTCAAAACGCGAAGACTCTTCCTCCATTATTAGAGAAAATGAAGCCCTAAAAAAATGAGTGTAGGACGTCACCCGCAACAGATTGATTTCCTCCACCTCGGTTTTATCACTGATTTATCAATATCAGGTGAAAAACCCCGTGGTTTATGACGTCAGTCACCGTCTTTTTCGAAGGGCTTGTTTCCGTTCACACGTGTATTTGAGGTAAAAACTTGGCCCTAGGCGATATCATATTTTTTGCTGCTCTATGAGCTGAGAGCATCTATTACTTTTGAAGAAACACGTAACTGACTTATAGACTAAAATTCTTGAATAGAAATTTTTTTGTTAAGTTTAAGGTCAAGCTGAGCCCGCAGCTACGAAATTTTATAGGAGGAACGAAGAAAAGGAAGGTATAGCTGTCGCATCCTATTAGAATTTCCTGTCTGTGGTGCATTTGAAATACGCATTTCACAAAAAGTAATCACTGTTTCTGACTCATTTTAGAAAAAAATACATTTGTCGTTGGTTTCCGTATGTATGTACGTGATTTTAAGAATGAGCCAGGAGTAGAGGTCCTTTACTGCAAAATTGGGCTCCATTTTACAGAAGGTGCATAATGCATATTGATCGATGGAAAGAGCACACCCTGTTCATCGATCCTTTTTCCATAGGTTTAAACGGCAGATCGATCGATACATCGCAAAGCACGCCACGCCACTGATCGATCTCTGTGAACCGAGCTTTTTTTCTCAGCGGCAACCCTGATCAATAGGACCGCCGAAACTATCCAAGAGAGTAAGCACAGCTTTGAGCTTGGTGTGGACGACGCGTGTCGCATGGCGCCAATCGGAGAGGTGTCCCCTAAATCGTCTTCTCGGGTGCAACGACCCAAAGGCGACCCGGCCTCAGAACGGCGTTACAGGTAGATTACCGCGCATTATCGGTCGATTTCGTCAGACGATCGATTCGTGCGACAGCGCGGCGATCCACGGTCAGGGTGGGTCGGTTTTCTGCTTCCTCAAGTCTTGGCTCTTGAGGAAACGCTGTGTTTGCTGCGGCTCCCTTGGCAGAGACTTCTCCCGTCCCCTCCCTCCCACCTCTCGCTGGACGCCGCGCTCACGCAAGACACCACATGGACATGGGAGTTTGAACAAAGGTTGTCGCTGAGCTTTGGGCTCCGAAGCGATTTACGATAAAATGGTCGGTTTCAGCGCCAGATCTGGCGACCACAGTCCGAACGATAAACTGTCGTCAATGAACGCGAATGATGACCTGCGGCACCTCGGCTGCGGCGTCAAAACGTTGCCACGTTGAGCTCGGAACACTCCAGGAAGTATCTGGCCATGCACTTGAGTGGCCTGCAGGCTGATTGTTGGAATTTATAGACAAAGCTATAGACAAAGAAGACAAAAGTCATATGGAGGGATCCTATTGGTAGAAGTGGGTGGTTGCAATGAACAAAAAAGGTAGATAATAAACTAACTAACGGGAAACCACGAGAGACCCAATAGTAGTCCATCAATTTCTCCCTTAGTCCATAGGAACGAACCATTTTAACCACTAGGATCGCACCACACTCCCTATGTCTCCTTTGTCTATCGCTTCGTCCATCAATTCCAGGAATCAGCCCGCTGAGATGGAAAATGTCATTACATTTATTCGCAAAAAATTTTATGCATGAAATTTTTAGAAACTTTTGGAGGTACATTCAGGAGGCCAAAAGATTCTCGATTTTTACATTTTTCTTCTCAAGCTTAAAAAGTTCAAGCAATGCAAATATTATCGTTTGATTTTGAGGTTAGGTTGGGGCGTGAGTGACTTATCAACGTATGACTTTTCCATTTCTCTTGAAGCTTTTAATCACGTACATTTAATGGGAGTAAAATAATCAATGATGAATGGAATGTCACGCTAAGACCTCTTAAACTATGCCACCTCGTAGAGAGGCAAAACCTCTCTTGGAGTTTATCGTCTGTTGCGTGGTGAATCTCATTCACACCGTTGACCTTTCTGTCCACAGGTGAACAAGGAGTCTTAATAGGAGTACTCAACTCATTCGTGCACGTCGTAATGTACACTTACTACTTCCTGTCGGCCCTTGGCCCACAAGTCCAGAAGTACCTATGGTGGAAGAAATACATCACTAAACTGCAACTGGTAAGTTTTCATAAAATAACAATAAATAACCTCAGCTGGTCACATCGGCATTATCACTTTCATTCTAGCCCTTGGAGGCGGAAATAGTGGTATCCCTGCGGGCCAATTATTAAAATTGATAGAAAAAGCTATAGACAAAGAAGATAAAGGGATTTGGAGAGAGGAAGCGGGTGGTCGCAATGGAAAAAGGGGGCACGTAATAGACTAACTAACGGCAACCCACGAGAGTCCCTATAGCTAGTCCATCATTTTCTCTCTCAGTCTATAAGAGCCACCCATTTCAACCAATAGGATTGCTCCATATCCCTTCTGTCTCTGTGTCTATAGCTTTGTCTATCGATTTCAATAATCGGCCCACTGTCTTGGAAAACCTATAGAGACTTGAACGCAGGATGAGAAAAGAGAGATGATTCTATTGGTCAATTTAGTTTTATGATTTTTCGAATCAGCCCTTGAACAAAAATTAAATTTAATTTACTTTATCGAAGTCTCAAAGATCGGAAAGTTTCACAACAACAAAGTTTGGCATATCGATGGAATCTATCATTTGTGTGACGGCTGAAATCGAAAAATGAGTATGTTTTATTTTTTTATGAGAAATCTGACCAAAATATCTCTTTGATATTATCCCTAAATATTTTTTAATGGTAGATGGAAAATTTCAAGAAAAGCTGTCAAGTTGTATCCTTTTTGAATGAATGGAACGTTAGCGGAGATTTGCTAAGTCGCGATGGCGGATACACTTTTTTTGACATTAGCCGTAGATATTTCATGAATTTAATATTCATCGACTCTCCACGGCAATTCTTATAACCCCGTACAATTAATATCTTTTCGTCTTAGGTACTCACAAATTACAAAATGAATAATTTATAATAGCAACTCTGTAAAGTTACAACTACGGAACATTAGGTAATTCTGTATCTGATGGCTAACCTGTAAAGAGTATGTTTCTATTTTGTGTTTGACTTTCAAGAATTGCCCGATGCTGCAAAAGAGTATTTCTGAGAGATATGTTGGAAATCCAGAGCTGAAGTAAAATTATTATTCGTCTGAAAACCAGTTATTGAAACAGATGACTTAAAGAGATGAATAAAATTGATTGGATTTGCACACAGAAATTCAACTTGATTCTTGTGGGGAAAAACAACATTTTCATACCAGAACCCGCATCTTAAAAATTATTGTTGAGACCTCTCGATTTTTCATTCTTAGTTCTGGGCGTTGCACTGGGTCTAATTGGTATTCAAATGCGTCTTTCCTACTGTTTTCACACAGACAGACTAGCTTGCGGGGGAAATAACTGGTTTTTGTTATTTTAAAATTTCAATATCAATTTCAAAATGCATCCTGATCATTTTTCTTTCTCTCTTTTTTTTACGTACCGCACGAGATTATCATAATGCAATTTCTGAAAGAGAAACAATTCCACGAATACTGCATAGTTAGAAAACTTTGGATGAAACCAAAATCTTTATTCTTCCCCCTCTTGTTTTGCTCGTTTTTCCCATTTCTTTGTGTTCACTAATAATTTTAATTATATCCTCGTGTAGAATTTTGTCCTCAAATAAGAACTCGACTAATTTGTCTTCATGTCTGTCCATAATGCTGCAAAAACGCGTATCCTATATATTAAAATGCAAAGTTCCGAATCTTGGGGCATTAACTTTGAGAGAACCACCGGACCGATTTGCGTGATCTTTTTTTTAAATGAAAGCCCCTGAGCTGTAGATTTGCAGGCTGTGATCGTTTTTTCGATTTTTTCAAATTTTCTCCCATAATTTTCTCAAATTTTCTTCGATGCAATAAAACGGAGGTCCGAATCTTTGGACGTTAACTTTGAGAGAACCACCGGGCCGATTTGCATGGGGTTTTTTTTTAAATGAAAGCCTGTGATCCGTAGATTTGCAGGCTGTGATCGTTTTTTCGATTTTCTCAAATTGTCTTACTTTTATCGACGAGTGAAGTTCAGCTGGGCTCAAATTTTCTCCCATTTATTCAGACTAAAGTCCGCAT